AAAAAAAAAGATTGTGCTTTTAACGAATATACTCTACTAATTCTCCATATTAGGCATCTTATTCATTATTAAAAGAGTTTGAAATATGCCTATTGTTGTGAGGGTCATGAGAGTTAGCACATACATTTCAGAGGTGGCTTTCCATTCTGTCCCAGACTTTGCTTGGGAGAAAGACGGTCCAAATAATAAATTCACTTTTGATAGGAACCAGATCATGTCCCTATTTATATTCTCCCGGGCCTCATATCCCCTCACAGCACATAGCAGGTGCTCAGTCAATGAGTTGAAGTAAACCAGGCTCTGCTTTTTCTCCCGGGCGTAACTTTCTTCATCTAATCAAACACAGAGAAGAGGAGAAACGCATGCCTTTACCCAAACTTCCTCCAGAGATTTCATTTATTTTTTCATCATTTCATTTCCAATCCTCCTGTGGTCAAATCTTTAGCCAAATCTTGACTCTGGACTCAAGATCGGAATCTAGTTTCTACTGCCCACGTGGCCACGGGTCCCAACCAAAGGCATCATCGCTTGTTACCTTCATCGACACCTACTGTCTCATAGCTTGCTGTGAGGTCTATGAAAATCTGTCCATCAAATTCAAGGCTGGGAGGGGGACAGATCTAGGTTTGACTTTTAGTAGAGGACTTCCTAGTGATGGCTTCTAGGTCAGCTCATTCAGCGTTTCTGAGCGCAATCTCATCATTCCTAAAATAGTAGTAATATTATTTAATGGATGGGTCAGGGAGAGAAATAGATGGACACAGGTGACACCGGCTAGCTGGACACTCAGAAGTATAGAAACGGAGTATCCCACAGTGTTAGTGACCCAGTGGCACTGTAATATGTTTTCACACCTGGAGGATAAACATTCTGATAAGGAACTCAGCCAGGTTGGTTATTTCTTGTAAGCCTCTTTGCCAGTGTCTGGTGTTTGCCAGCGATCCTTGATATTCCTCTGCTTGTATATAAGTCTTCACAAGGTGTCTCTCCTCTTAGTGCGTGTTTCTGTGGTCTTCTCTGCTCTTTTCATAAGACACACTCGGAAGTAATCAGGTTTAGGATGCACCCTCTTCTTGTAGGGCATCATTAATATAACAAGGAAAACCTTTATTTTCCAGACAGGATCATATTCCGGGAGTAGGAATTTCACATTTTTCTTGTTGTGGGGTACATTTCAGTCCATGTCACCTAGTAATATTACATTTGGGTGGTTGAGATAATGTCTTACTTTGGGAGGAGGGAGTGGGCAGGATTCCTCCTCCACTCTCTGACCCACTCACTTCACTCTTCTCCTCCTTCCTCAGTTTTATACTCCCTCGGTTTTATCAGTAAAACCAATCGTTTCTCAGGTATTGTTTATTGTACTAACCAGCATGTTTGCTAATTTTGATTCTATCCCAGGAGATCTTTGGCTATCGGACTCAAGGCTGCCGGAAAGCTCTCTGCCTCGCTGGATCCATCTTCTCCCTTGGACTCCTCCCCCTGGTGTTCTACTGGAGACCGGCGTGGCACGTAAGGGCACATTGTGTCCCGTGCTCCTTGCAAGACGCAGATGTTGTGCTGCTGAGGTCAACAGTAAGTGTGCCCCTGCCTCTACACCTGGCAGGTCTCTTTTTGCCAGAACATTCTGTT